GCACAAGGCTAGTTTGAAAACTAATTCCACTATATTGATTTGCAAGTTACATCAGATTATGCATCTGTAATTAGTAAAAAAAATCTACAGTTGGGCCAAGCTGTTGAGTCCAACTACCCAGGCCCAATGGCCTAGGTCAGACTTGCTCGAATGAACCCAAGACTTGGGCCTGTTTGCAAGTGCAGCCAAGTTTATATTTATATACAACCATAAACATGTTTATTACAAAAAGAAAAATCTACTATTGAAAGTCCACTAATGATTAATCTTAAATTGAAATTAATAGTCCATTTACAATATTATCAGTCCAAGACTTTATACAAGAAAGATTTTAACATAATGAACCATTATCCTAACAGTCCCTCACAGCTAACGTCTAAAGAAAGAAAGAAGTACTTCTAAAAATAAATAAAAGAAAAATGTCTTCTAGCCTTGAATTCGTGCCATCAGATCCTTCACAACCAATGTACCAGCTTGCAAGAGATCAGCTACAGAGCTGCCTCTCACAAACTGGTTATTTAAACACCACACCCGAAGCTCTTTACTGCCCAAGTCAGCTCCTATTCTACCAAGGATTTCATGAATCTAAGAGGTCAGATCCACAGAAATGCCTTTAATTATACCAACTTAATAAATTGTCAGACCCAAACATAGACACATAATGCAAGAAACAGTTATGATTCATGGGTTTAATCATGTTAAAGGTTAAACTCATGAACCACTACAGGTTTCAAGCCCAAAATCATGGCATACTGCCTTACGGACATATTGGTATATACTTCAACGGAAGGAAAGGGGAAGTTCAATCCATGAACTAGACTATGTAAAAGTCAGGCCCCCTGGACAAAACTGGTTTCGGGGAGGGGAATCTAAACATAATTAATCAATGCAAGAAGAAACAACACTAGCATAAGATAATCAATACTAAGGCCTAACAAAGAAACAGAACCTTATGCCATAAAACTAAAGGTAAAGAAACTCATGAATTCTTAGAGAGAAAGACAAGCTTTAGCACTATTGAAGTTTCAACATGTAAGCTATAACAAGGATATACAAGCAATGTCAAACAAGAAAGAAGAAAGCTCATATTCATATTAAGTTTTAATTACAGGTAGTCAAATAAGGGAAAGGATCATATGTACCTTAACACAGCAAACAAATAACAACTAATATGCAGACAAGACTGCTGGAAGAATTTCAGATGTAGAAGGCAGCATTAGTAACCAACACAGCTTCAGCAAAACCAAAGAAACCCCAAAATTTCAAAACCAAACCAATACTTGAAAACCAGAAATCCCAAGTAAAATCCTAAGAAAATTCTTCACTTCAAATCATTTTCATCTTGTTAACAAAAGGAGAGGTTTCCTTTTTTTTTTTGGAAGTTTTTCTGAGATTTTTCTTAAATCAGAAATTCAGAGAAAAGAAGGAATTTTCTACAGGGAATGATACTACTGATTGCTAAAAGATTCTGTCATTTTCAGAGTGAGTGAACCTATATATATATATATATAGGTTGCCTTGGGAGGGTATCTTTTAGGCATATTCGTTATCCTAGGGAATAATAGTACTGCCTTTTTTTACAGCCCTTGGTACAACTATCCTATATTTCAGCATCTTTTCATAACAGCTAGGATAGCTGTACATTTCTAGAAACTTCTGATTTTTAGCTTAAGTAGAAATCCCTTTTTTACCCTTTAGGTTAATGCTTATTTCAGCTTTTATCCTAATTTTAAATTCAGTTAAGTCCCTGAAATTTCTATTGATGACAAACAAAGGCAAAGCCCTAAAAGGATTAGCCATTTGAATCAAGAGTGCCCAAGAAGTACTAGTGACTACAATCATGAACCTAAAACTAATTCGACCAATAAACAGAAATACTCTAGCTAAGTGAACCTAAGAATGGAGTTTAAATCTAATACACTTAATCAATAAATGCAATGAATTAAACTGCAAAGAAGAACTAGAATTCTACCTATCAGTTTTTAAATTTAAACCATTAGGGCAACAATCGACCTAAATATCTTGCTGATTCAAAATAAACTGATTACCAAATGACCTCATAGAGGCAAAACAGAGTAGGCATCAACAAACCCTAACTAAACTAAAAGTTATGCAATTCGAGTATTTAATGCAAACATGCTTTAATCAATCAAGAACAACTAAACAACTAAGCATTTGCTGGAAAAAAAACAAAGAAAAGAAACAAAAAATCTAAAGTTAAACCTAAACATGCGACTAATGAACACGAAGAAGGCAAAAATAGAGCAAAAATCCACAAAAACGCTAACCAGTCACCTAAGTAAGCCTGAACTTAAATAAATTGAATTTCTAATGATGAGGTTCTGAACATGCTTTAGTTACTCTAACAAAATAGATGCCAGAAATCCAACTAACAGTCAAAACAGGAAGAAGAAAAGTAATCTAAACATGCGTCTAAACGGGAAAACATGAACATGCAAAGAAAGCAAACAATAAACAAAAACAAGAGTGAAAAGAATTACCTAACTTCGTTTATCTTTTAGAAAACCAGACCAGCTACAAGTTCGACCAAACTTCTTCTAGGCAATCGTGAACCCGAACTAACATTAATCGACTGTTCTCATAAAGAACAGTCGACTAATGAAGGTTTGGGGTTCAATCAACCGAACAAAGACCCGGAAACAGAAAAGGGAAAAAAATTATGGTTCAAAAGCTCTTAGATTTAAAATTCGAAAGAATAAACTAGGCTATTTGGGAAATTGAGGGTAGGGTAGTGGTGAGGGGAGGTTAAGGACTGTGGGTTGTGATTTTGGTGGGGTTTGGAAGAACTCAACGGGGATTTGGGGAAAACGGTTCAGAGATTCGTAAAGAGGGGGTGAAGGGGAATCTAGGGTGTAAATTTGGGGAGGTTTGGACCACCGGAACCGGCGTGAGGCGATTTCCGGCGGTGGTTTGCATCGGAGCGACGAGAGAATAGAGGGGCGGCTAGGGTTTGGTTGGTTGAGAGAGACGAGTGGAAATGAGGGGGGTAATGAGGTCTAGGGGGTCCGTTCGGACAGGTTTATACAAAATGATCCTTCAGTTCCGAGCCGTTGGATTGCTAAGATCCAACGGCTGTGATTAGGCGTTACAAAAACGGGGTCGTTTGGGTTTTTGGGGGGACCTGGACCGGGTATAATTGGTTTTGGGCTTGGGTTTGGGTAGGATTTGGACGGGTTTGGGGCAATTTTAGGCTGGTTTGGTAATTTTAAAACTAGCCCATTCCAGAAAATCCAATCTTTGAAATACCCTTTTTCTTTTCTCTTTTTATTTCCAGTTTCTTTTCTTTTTCTTTCTCTTTTTTTTATTAAAAATCCTAATAATTAAAATCCTAAATTATCTCAAATGTGAATTAAACTATTTAACTAATTATAAAAATTATAGACATCACTTAATTCTAAATTAAAAGACAAAAATTAATAAACTAAAAATTAAAAGACAAAAATGTAAAAATGAGCTATTTTTTGTGTTTTTTAAATTTCTACAAAACAAATGATTACTGATTAATTCTAAAATGTAAAAACAAATCTTAAAGGCAATGCATGATATTTTTGGTATTTTTCATGAAAATATTAAATATGCACCGAAATGCAAATAATTAAGAAAATTCTACAAAAATTCCTAAAATGGAAAATAATTAACAGAAAATCTATTTCCTTGGAATTTTATAGGAGTATTTCGTATAGGGCAAAAATCACATGCTCACAGGTTGGTGAGCGAAAAATTTTCTTTCAGAATTTCTTTTTCTATTGTTTGTTTAGAAAGTAGAAAATATTTTTTAAGAATTTTTTTTTTTGCGCTACTCTCCTCACCCCCCTTCCCCAAATCCCTATGTTTCCGGTGCTCCCCCTTCCCCACCCCCACCAACCAACCCTAAATACCCAATATTTTTATGACTCTATTTTCTTCATGAATTAATTAATCTTTTAAAAATTCATACTAACCCAAAGGGACTAATGTGATGCTTTACTTTTTCAGGCAAAAACAACATTGAAATTTGTGCTCCATAGCTAAAAAATACTTTTTTCTTGGGTTAAAAAAATAGTATTGTTTCTACAAGATAAAAAAAATACTCGTTTTGTTAAAATGATAGCAAATATCTTTTTTACATCATGAAAAGAAAATACTCATTTATTGAGTTAAGAAAATACTTTTTTCTACATCATGGAAAGGAAGTTTTTTTTGTATAAATGAAAGAATATACATTTTTTTACATCATGAAGGAAAAAACTCATTTTGTTAAAATAAAAAAGAAAGTACTCTATCTACCACATGAAAAGAAAGTACTCGTAATACTTCTATTTATGGTGGGTATGGGGTGGGGGAGCGTGGGTATGGAGGCTGGGGTAGGGGTGATGGAGTAGGGGTGAGGTGGCTGGGGTGTGGGAGAGCCGGCGGGGATGGGAATAAGTTTGGGAAGGTTGAAGAGTTTTGGAAAATATTTTCCCTTCTTTTGATGGGAAAAATATTTTCCTCCAATTGGATGAAAATGAGTTCATGAGAAAAATATTTTCCAACAAAACATGAAAAAATTGAAAAATATTCCGTCATACCAAACACACCCTTAGATTTTAGATTTTTATATAAGAAGTCTAGTGATGTTGAGAATCTTCCACACATGTGAATCACATTCTCATTACTTCCTTTATTCTTTCTTTTTCTTGATCTTTATAATGGGAAATTAAAGAAAAAGAAAATGTGATACGAAACAATAGCTTTAAACCTGCTTTTTATATTGGCAAAAGACATCGGCAACCCCTTAAAGTTGTCCCCACTTTTTTACTTAGACACTCTATCTTAAGTCCGTTCTATTTGAATACTTCAACTACCTCATATGTGTCATTTAGACACAAAATACTGACATGCCAAATCAAGCGATCCTCACATTTTCTGGCGCGTAAAATGGTCCAAAGAACAAACTCCTCATATCTTGCTAGGTTTTTGCCAGAAATATTTTCCAGTAAATGTTTCTATGAATTTTTCATCGTTCACATCATTCTATCTCCATCGATATAATAACCTCCTCCACTCACCCTTTTCTTCTATTCCTCGTGACCTACTATTGTCCGACGAACATGACAGAGAATTTTCAGTGAGCTGAGAAAAGAGAGAATATGAGTGATGGCAAAGGATATCTGCAATTTATAAAGGTTAAGTAATACGCATTTTTAATTTGATTTGTTAAACTTAAGTTTAAATATTTTATTAGGTAGAAAATCCCGGTGTAGATAAGTACTGTATTTATTGGAAACAAAATACTACTATTCGATCATATGTATTTGCTATCATTGTGTTTAATTAAGATAAGCTGACAGATCAAGTTATATCAAAGATTTTTTGTTTTAAATTAACTTAAAAATAGATTTAAAGTTTGGTATTACATTTCTTAAAAAATTAATAATATTTGATGTGATTTTATATATTCAAAGGAAAACAAAACTGAACCAAAATCGCGAATCAAATCAACTACTCATATATGTTTTCTTAAAAATTTATATACCTATATGTGTGTTTATATTCTTAGCAATTTATGTAATTTTTATATACATATTTCATATTAGTATATATTTTATTGATATGGATAATATCAACTTACAATAAATTTGTCAGCAGCAATGAAATCCTGCACTAGTGATGTTGGGTTATAATTCAATATCTTTTGACGTTATTCACCTTATATGTTTGTCGTTTTGGTGCTAATTCGTGCGACATTTGAGCTTAATTAAGTTTATTTTACGTATAGGAACACTTGGATTTGAAGTAGATAAGAGTTGCACGAGATGGTACCTAGAAGCTACAAAATAGAGCATAAAAAGAAGACATTTCAAGGCCATAAAAATTCACAGCTTTAAATATTGCAAGGCCATGAAAATTCACAACCTTAGACAGTACAATGCACTATCCAAACCACTAACTTTGGCTCCCATGACGATGCGAGGCCGTATAGTTTTGGCGCCTCTGATGGTGCCTTGCACTGTTATTTCGGCGCCTCTAATGATGCCCCTCACTGATGATGTCTATCCAAGCCACTTTATTTTCCTCTTCAGTTTTGGATGTGGACTCTTTAGCTCTACCTTATAAATACCTCTTAAAGTTAGTTTTTAGAGAGTGAGACATTATTTGGGAGGCAAAAGACAGTTGTAACGATTGTAAGCACCGGAACACATGAGTTCTTCTTTGTTTTTCCTTAATTTGTGGATTAATACTTTCAATTATTGACATGATAATTAGCATGACTATAGCTAAATCTCTTTCTAGGGTTTTGATGAACATTTTTGTAGGATGAATTCTTGATATGTTTTGTATAATTGAGCCTTTAGATTTCTCTATTTGTTCAATTACGTGCTTATTTTAGTTAATTAAAGAGATCTCAATTAACAATGCTTATTTATTATGTATTACTTGGGAAAGAGTACATAATTAGGTGGTTGTTGAACAACATCACTCCTAACGTATGTGAGGAATTAATTCGGCGGGGTTTAGGAATAACAAAGCTTTGACGTGATCATAGTGAGCGTTAAGATAGTGCCAACTAGCGTAGTTCGGGAGAATATGTCTAGTAAATTATTGTAGTTGCTCGGGAGAGAATTATGACACCTGAAGTGATAACGATCATAAGAGAATACTTAGGTATAATTATAGGAGACGCAGTGGGAAAGATTTCGAAAATTTGGGAAATCGTAACTTTAGGCCTCCTTAATCTTGTCTCCAACTCTCTCCTCCTTAGTTAATAATTTTTACTACTTTTAATAGTTGTTAGTTAATTATTTTAAAACAAGAATCACAACTTCTATAACTTAAGAATTGTTCGAGCTTGTTTTCGTAGTGATATTGAATAGTTGCATCTAAACCTTATTTTTCTGTGGATTCGACTCCGGACTCTTAGACCAAATTATATCTACAACAACCCTTTAGTCCTTTTCATAATGCATAGTTGGGCATTATAAAATTTTGGCGCCGCTACCGGAGAACTGATGGTGTAGGTTTAGGTGTAAATATTACTAGGGTTCAAGTTTAGATATTTATTTTAGTTTATTCCATTTTAATTTGTTTTAGCTGTTAATTTGACAAATGTGACATCTTGGAATTATTAGAGCTTTAAGGTTGATAATTCTACTTTTGATCGTCCTTATGCATATTGTAGAGAAAATCACCCGTGGAAAAATTATCAAATATTCCAGAGAGTGAGTTTTACCAATTGAATCTTATGCGTGAAATATGTGTGATGTGTGTAGTGGTCAAAATGGTCATATGTATGGTTATGCATATATTTCTTATCCTCCCACAACCCCTTATTATGATGGTTCTACTTTTCTTGGGAAGTTAATATGAACAAAGAAACAGGGGAAGCTAACCTGATCAAGGATATGTTAAAGTGCCTAGTGGAACAAAATGATGAGAAACAGCTGCAGATAGAAAGTCAATAAGCAACTATTTGCAATGTGGAGGCCCAAGTGAGTCAACTGGATGAAGCTTTTAATGCTCAACAAGTCAATATTGTAGAAAGTACCCAAGAAGAGCGTGAATTAGATACAGAAATTGAGGTACTAATGCAGGAGGTTATACGACCCCGCTGGTCGTTTTAAGAATTTACGCCGCTATTACCTATTAACTGCTTTCCCCGTGTTTGTTTCTGCTATTGTGAGTTGCCGGGAGGATTTATTTTCGGAGATTTTTGGGAAACTTAGTCCCTAAATGAGAGTTTAAGTTTTAGAATTTGGACCATAGTCGGAGCAGTGTGAAAACGGCCTTGGAATGGAATTTTGTTGGTTCCGTTAGCTCCGTTGGGTGATTTGGGCTAAGGGGCGCGTTCAGATTGTGTTTCGGGAGGTCCGTAGATTATTTAGGCTTGAAATGCCGAAAGTTGAATTTTTGAAGTTTTCGGTTCAATAGTGAGATTTTGATCTAGGGGTCGGAATGGAATTCCAAGAGTTGGAGTAGCTCCGTAGTGTTGAATGTGACTTGTGTGCAAAATTTCAGGTCATTCGGGCGAGGTTTGATAGACTTTTTGATCGAAAGCGGATATTTGAAGTTTTGGAAATCCTTAGGCTTGGATTGGAGAGTGATTTGTGGTTTTAGCGTTGTTTGATGTGATTCGAAGGTTGGAATAAGTTCGTATAATATTTTACGATTGGTTGGCAGGTTTGGTTGAGGTCCCGGGGGCCTTGGGTGAGTTTCGGGTGCTTAACGGAAGTTGAATTGGACATGGGAAAAATTTGATGTTGGCTGAACCTGTCATAACCGCACCTGCGTGAATGCAACCGGAGGCGCGGTGCCACAGAAGCGGCTTGGTGATCGCAGAAGCGGATTTTGGTCCAGGCTCCAGAAGCCGCAGGTGCGAGAAGTCGAACGCACCTGCGAGAACGCGGGTACGGTAAGGGAGTCCCAGGTGCGAAAATTCGTATTTCATGAAAAGTCGTAGGTGCGACTTGGTCTACGCAGAAGCGGGACCGCAGGTGCGGTCCCATAGCCGCAGATGCGGTTTCACTAGTCAGAAAAGGGGAAGAACGAGGGTTTGAAATCAAAACTTGGAAAAATTAAATTGGGAGCTCGGTAGGAGGCGATTTTTGGAGAGATTTTCAGAGGGAGTTAACTGGTAATGATTCTGAACTCCTTTTTTCTTATAACCCATTAATCTAATCATGAACTCATTATCTAATTTCGGATTTGGGATGAGAAATTGGAAAAAATTTGGAAAAGGTTCTTAGGCCTAATATTGGGATTTTGATCAAGATTTTGATGTCGGATTGGAACAATGTTGGTATGTATGAACTCGTGAGAGTGTAAGGGTTCTGAATTTGTAAATTTCACCCGATTTTGAGATGTGGGCTCGGGGGCGTTTTGGTTATTTTTTCTAATTTCGCTATTAGCTTAGAATTTAATAGTTGAATTAGCTACTTGAAGTGTTATTTATATTATGATATTACTTTGAATAGATTGGGCCATTTGGAGTCGGATACTCGTGGCAAGAACGTGGTATAGATTTGATTGAGCTGGTTTGAGGTAAGTGGCTTGTCTAACCTTGTGTGGGGGAACTCCCCTTAGGATTTGGTACTGTGATATTTGAAATACCTTGTACGTGGGGTGACGAGCGCGTACTTGTGCTGATTGTTGAAAATCCTATTTTTCATTTAAGTACCTATATTTCGTATTTTACTTCACTATGTACACTACTTGAACTTTGAGCTTACTGTTAGCTCAGGAAAGCATGCCTAAATGACTAAATTGCCTACTTGCTCAAATTGTCGTATCTGAACTCTGCGCAGCATGCTAGGTTAGAATTACCTGACAGTTTTGATATTAAATTGAATTGAGTTGATTATTCTTGTGTTGTTGCTGTGTGTTTACATTGAGACTACGAGTGGTTCCCGGTAAATCCCCCTTGTCTGTTTATTTGGGACTACGGATGTGGTATTCCGGTAGATCCCCATGCACAGTGATATGGACTACGGGACAGCACCCGAGAGATCCACCCATTATTTACTTTTGGGACTACGGATGTGGTATTCTGGTAGATCCCCCTGCACAGTGATATGGACTACGGGACAGCACCCAGGAGATCCACTGATTATTTACTTTTGGGCTACAGGACGGGATCCTGGTAGACCCCCGGTTGTTATCTCTATGTTGAGTTGTATACCTTCTGTGATTATTTGCCTTGGTTGTGGTTGTTGTTTCTCACATTATCTGCATTTCTTTACTACTGCTCATCTTCCTTATATATTATTGTATATGACCGGTAAGGCCCTAACTTTCCTCGTCACTACTCGACCGAGGTTAGGCTTGGCACTTACTGGGTACCGCCATGGTATACTCATGCCCTTTCCTGCACATGTTGTTGCGTGTGCAGATCCAGGTACTTCCACTCAGTCTTATCACCCTTGAGGCGAGGCGCTTTCTATAGAGACTTCGAGGTATATCTGCCGTGTCTGCAGACCGAGGAGTCCTTTTCCATTCTCTGTAGTAGTATAGCCCTTCTGTATCTCATTGTTGTTAGACATTTCTGGAGTTAGAGCATTTTATGTACTCTTAGCTTGTGATTCATGGGGTTTTGGATTTTGGGAGTGTTAGGTTGAAATTCTTGGATTGTTATATGTCGGGCGGCATCTTAACCACTGTTATACTTTGTTATCTCAGTTTTATTAGTTTCTTTACCGTAATTATTTCTTTTCCACATTTGTTAGGCTTACCTAGTCGTAGAGACTAGGTGCCTTCACGAGTGTTCACAGATGGCGAACTTGGGTCGTGACAAGTTGGTATCAGAGCTCTAGATTCATAGGAGTCATGAATCATAATTCGGTTTATTAGAGTCTCGCGGATCGGTACGGAGACGTCTGTGCTTATCCACGAGAGGCTATGTAACTGTTAAGAAAAATTTTCACTTCATTTGAATTCCTTGTCGTGCGAGATTTTTGGTATAAGAAATCTAAACTTCTGTCTTCTATTCTTTCACAGATGGTGAGGACACATGCTACTGGAGGTGACCAGACACCCGCACCCCCTGCGAGAGCCGTTAGAGGTCAGGTTCGGGTAGAGACCGAGGACGCGCATGCGGTGCAGCCAGAGCACCCGCGCGAGCTGCTACCGAGAAGCCACCAGCAGTTCCAGCTGGAGCCTAGGCGCCTGACACGTCTACTGCTACTACTACTCCAGCTCTTCAAGAGACTCTGACGTAGTTTATGAGTATGTACACCACTCTAGCTCAGGCAGGGTTGCTTCCCCTTGCTGCAGCCACATCCCAAGCCGGGAGAGGAGCACAGACTCCCGCCGCCCGCACTCCTGAGCAGTGAGTACATGTTGAGCAGATCCCAGAGATTATACCGGCACAGCCTGTAGCCCCGGCTCAGCCCGATGAGAGGGCAGTAGCTTCAGAGGAGGAGCAGAAGAGGCTTGAGAGGTTCAAGAAGTATCAGCCTCCTACATTCAGTGGACTAGCATCACATGATGCTCTGGGATTTCTAGAGGAGTGCTACCGTATCCTCCGTACCATGGGTATATCAGGATCGAGCGGGGTTTCCTTCATTACCTTTCAGCTTCGAGGAGCTGCCTATCAGTGGTGGCGTGCTTATGAGTTAGACAGTCGAGGATGAGGCATCTTCCCTGACTTGGGCTTAGTTTTCAGATATGTTCACGAGAGAGTATGTTCCCCGGAGCCTCAGGGACGCTTGGCGTGCATAGTTT